TCATTGAAACTGTGTTTGTTTCAGCCTTTAACACCACTCGAGTATACACCCTGCTGTTTTTTGTAGGAGTAAACACTTACATGTTCTAGATTAGTGCCTTTTGGGCTCTCGTTACTCAACAGATTCTTACTTCCTTTGAACCAAACCTAACTTGTCATTTGTCAGAAAATGACCAAATAACAGCGTTAGTGAACATGACTTTACATTTCAAGGATCATATTTTACTTTATGTACACAGACTTGGTACGGCAACGATTACAAGGGTTTTACATGACATATTCTTTAATAAAACAAGTGTGTGTGTGTGGGGGGGGGGGGGAGATTTCTCTAAGACACTTTTCCTGAACCACAAGACAGAAATAAAAGGTCCAAACATTCCTGCTAGTGAAAAGGTTGTAAGCGCAATCATCCAGGTAGATAACAATAAAAAAGGTTAAATCGTGTCATCTGGACCAGTTTCCAGTTGGTCTTGGTTGTCCTCAGGATGTTTCTGTGAGTAACAAGTTGGCCATCTGGCATAAAACATTTGATTGATGTACATGATGACTGATTGTTTTGCACGTGTTAAAAGTCTACTTTTGAGATTACAGCAGGAGGTTGGCTCGAGGCTACCTATGGGCCAGATCTGGTTGGCTGGCTGTAGACTGAGGAAGTCCTCTGGATGTGGGACGAAATGTTTCTCACTTAAAGAAACTGGTCCAGATGACACCGTTTAACCTTTTTTATTGCTGCTAGTGATTTAGTGAGAACACAAATTGCCAAGTATCCATGTGTCAGAAGATTTGGACACGTAACTCTAGAGGCAGAAATACAATCTAATAGTAGTAATCATGGTTTGATTAGTGTTCAGATGTGTGACAACAGAAAATGTTGTCATTGTCTTAGTGTTGGTTATATTATGGTCAGTTACCGTTCTTACTGTATTTCCCATTGTAATCAACCTCCCAGTGAAACCTTAAAAAGACTAAAGGATCTTTGTGACGTGTACTGATATGTGACGTGTACTGATGTGTGACGTGTACT